AATGGCCTGAAGTTGCACCAGGAGAGGGTCAGGGTAGATGTTAGGGAAAATCTTGTCCAAAAGAGTGGCGCAGCATTGGAAGCAGCTGCCCAAGGAGGAGGTGGAGTCACCATCCCTGGAGGTGATTCATGATGAGGCGCTGAGGGACATTGTTAGAGTGCGTGGTGGTGGTAGGCTGATGGTTGGACGGGAAGATCTTAGAAATCCTCTCCAAACTCAATGTTTCTATGATTCTAAAAACAGCAGTAATTAGAAGCAGTGATCTAAAAAAAAACAGGCTGCACCATCATCTTAGGGCCAACTTTTCTTCTTTTTCCTCCAAGGAAAAAGATTTAGTAACTGGACTCTCTTTACTGCATTTGAGTGACATGTTACCATCATGTAGATCTGCAAGGGGAAAAAAAAAAATAAAGAGAGAAGCAGATGATGCATTAAAAACAGAAGCACTACTGCACTTCTTAGTGTTTCTATAGTAGCACCACACACAGTTGATTTCCAGGCATGACATTGTCTGTTCAGCACTAAGGCTCTGGTTACCCCCACAGTTACAAGATGGTGATCTCCCCAAACATTTCTAGCAGGTTTGGAAGCCTGTATCCTGTACGTGGAAAAACAGAATTAGCATTTTAATTGAGTTTCAGAATTTTGCCACTATTTAAGTAATTTGTAAAACTTTTCCATTTCTTTATTGTTTAGTGTAATTCATGCTTCAGGTATGGTCTGAACAACTGACCCGTCAACTGAACAGGGTGTTAAATCTGTATTTCTCATTAAGGTAATTCCTGAGCTAGGTATTAAATATAGCATAGTAAAATGGAATTCTTGTTTAGTATATATTTAGAAGCCCTGTGTTTAATCAGCGTAGAGTGTCTCCGTTTTCCTGCAAATCTCTGCAACTTCTTATTGATCTAATTATGTAAATCATTGCTTTTAAATGTCAGTCATTTGCATATCTAGCTGTGCATATTGAAAAGGCCTTTCCCATGAGTAAAACAAATCTCTGTGTTACAGTCCAGAGAGAAAAAGCATTGCCCAGATAGAAAAAAAGCACTGCCTTTTGTTGCTTAACCGCTGGAACTTGTAACAACATTCAGGGAGGATTTACCAAAGGATTATGCTAAGAATTGACCTTCTTCTTTCATGCATAGTCTTCAAGATATATGATCCAGGATGGACTTACATCAGTCAGTCCTACAGTGGCAGGGAACAAAGTTACAATTTTTAACATACCGTAAGATGCTGAGGCTTTTTAACAAGATAACCAGAGATCTGGTTGATGCTAGAGCTTCACTTAGCAGCCTGAAGGGTTGTGCAGCAGTGAATGTGTAACTCCAAGTGGTGTGATGTGTGCTGGCTCTGTGTGCCTGCTGCTGTTCCACAGGGACTCAGCCTCTGTCCTGGGAATTCCAGTGTGCTTCAGGCTCAGAAGTGACACCAAGTCTTCAGGAGCTCAAAAACGTATCACATAATGACACTACAAAGAAAAAGGAGAGAATAATTGCTAGGGTAGAGCTTGGCAGGATGCAGCACTGCTCACAGCACAAGTTTGCTGTATGGTGATGAACAGAGTGCCAGTACACCCATCCCATAATATCATCCATCACTCTTTTTTCCCTCCATTTCAAAATTGTGATTTGTTTTGGAACACCCTGAAGTCCTTCCTTTTTTTATTTCAGCTGTTAGGTATATGATGCGCCATTTCCCAGGTTTTGGGTCTCTAATAAGGCCACAGGTCACTGGGAGGGGAAACTGGTAGGGAGCAGCCCCCAGCAGGCCCCCTAACCCTTCTCCCTGCCTGTTTCCACAGAGGATAAGCACGGCGAGCGGAGACGGCCGGCACTACTGCTACCCGCACTTCACGTGCGCTGTGGACACAGAGAACATCCGCAGAGTGTTCAACGACTGCAGGGACATCATCCAGAGGATGCACCTCCGCCAGTACGAACTCTTGTGAGGGGATCGCCGTGGAACCTGTGGTTTTAAATTCTTTGCTCCTTACTCTTTCTCTTGATACTACCCCACACAGGGTGGAAGAATATACTATAGAAATGTCAGTCTCTTCACTTGGTTTACTTTAATTATTTAACCGTAAAGCTGATTTGAAGCGAGTTTGGGTTGGTTTTCCTTCATGCTTTTTGGGACTATTTTTGTGCTTTATTTTGACATGCCACTTCTTCGTCATTCCACTAAGCCCTTTGGCTACCTCTGTTCCCTCGGGTTTTGTTGTTGAAAGCGAGCACGACCTGCGGCGCGTTGCGGCAGGTCGGTGCCAGTTCGGAGCGGGATGTTGGCTGGACGACGCTAAGTCACGGCGCTCCCTCCGTGTGGGTTTCCTTTTTAACGTGACATTGAAGAGTACTTGATGGGTGAAAAAGATTAATGCACTTTGTATCAGGTTATTAAATACTGTCGAGGAAGTAGACACACAATGTAGCAGCACCACAATATTTATTACTCCGTCACAGTTTTTAGCATTTCTGAGTTGCAGGTCAACTGATACGGTGACCTCCTCTTTTAAGCCGTTACTGGCGCAGGAAGTAGAGTAGATACTGAGAGGAATAGTGAAGACAAAGCAATTTCTCTGGGGTTCCGGAGCTCAGCGTCTCTGCGCACCTCAGGTGTTTGAATCACAGCTCCTTTTCAGCCTGTCGCATCTAGGCAGAAAATTGACCGCCCTCACTTACGTTGTTTGTGCTGTCCACAAATGATCCTTTTTGTTCCGATCATTCTTGGACGACGGTCCTCTCCCTATATATATTTTTTTGTTTTACTGCTGGTTTATTATATTGTACAGACTGTAAAATGTAATATTATTTTGTACAACTTTATTGAAGAAAAATACTTGTAGAAGATCTTTGTGCCTTGATTATGGCTGTACCTGTAAAATGAGCTAAGATGTAAGTATGTTTTTGATTGCGCTGTACAGCTTGATGTCAACCTTACCTGCAGCAGTGACTGGAGGTAAGAACTTTATCTGTAGAGTTTAGGGGTTTTTTTCTGGTTTATATAAAAATGCTCTTTAGTATAAAAATTATAAATTATGCAAATTAACCACTTACCTTTCCCAGTGAGGTATTACCGTCACCGGATGTTGCAGCAAACATGCCTTTCTCTTTCGAAGTCTCAGCTTTAAAACATTGGAATTCATTCGAGTGTCCAAATTGCAACCTGGTGTTGTTTTAATGGGAACCGAGGATTTATTATTATTATTATTATTATTATTATTCTTTTTTTCCTTTCTGTTTAGAAAATATGTTCGGTAATTCTTCGGTCATTCATAGAACTTCACAATGGCACAGACCGATTGTGAACGTGCAAAGCAGCATTCTGTAGAGCTCTTCGATCTCTGTACCAACAGCGGCTTTCATTGTGCAAGTAAATAGCGAGAAAGAAGACAAAAAGTTGTATCGACCCTCGTGTCTGGCCTAAGAGAATTACAAGATGACATTTTTATTTCTCTTTTAATAAAGAGACACGTTAGAAAATTGTTTTATTTTAAATATTGTAGAATCAAAATGTGTGAATATTTCTCAAACTTGAATAATTTATGCAAATGACATTCTCAAAAACAAGTTGTGGTACAGTACAATATATAAAAGCAAGAATTGCTGTAGCAATAAGGCATGTCCTTTTTAGTAACTATAACACTGCTTTATATTTTATACATAGGTGTTTTCTGTCTGTGACTATATACTTTTCCTGTGTCCAAGATAACCTGTACAAATGTCTAAAATTACAGTTGCAATAACAGAAACCTAGCGAAGTGTTAGACTACATTACTTCACAGAGTGTTTTACCACACTTGGACCGTTCCCACTCCTCGTTTTAAAGTTAGGGAGAGATTAAGAGCTGACACGTTCCCGACGTTGGCCTCCAACTCGGCGCTTCGATCAGTGTTTTGCTGTAAGCACCGCTGGTGGTTACAAACCCCTGCCACCACCTCTCAAATTCAAGTCAGACTGCGGCCCACCGCAGTCCTTGTTTCTATTTGATGACAAACAACCCCATTTTAGACACGACAATATGACCATTTCTTCTTCTCAGAAACGTGTAGATTTTAATACGTGCAAGTTGAGTCATCAGATATTGTCCAGAAAGCGAAGGGCTGAGTGGACTGAGCTAGTCAACAAACCCCCTGAATGCAGAGATTCTCTCGCTTCCCGTGCCAATGAAAGTACCGGGACAAGTAACAGCAGACGGTCTCGGCCTCAGAAGCAGCCCCTGCCCCAAGAGCTACCAGCAGGAGCTTTGCTGGGGTGGGTGGCGAGACACGGTGAGGTTTGTGGCGCCCTCCCTTAGGCACAGTGCGCAGAGGTGCTGAGCTCTGCTCCAGCGCTGCCACCCAGCCGGGGGCTCCTTGCAGCTGCCACCTCCCCAGCACAGAGCCGCTGCACTTCGCAGAGGGACACTACAGAATCGCTAAGAGCCGGCAGCCCTGCTGGAGCCTGCAACAGGAGGCGCCTGCCCCTAGCGCCTGCCTGCGGCTGGGGGCTGAGGCACAGGACAGTGTTACTGCAGCTGTAGTTGACCTTCCTTCTTGCAGAGCGGCAGCCGGAGGGCCCCTCACCGCACAGATCTCTGGGATGCAATAGGGCCCTCTTTTTTAAGCCCATCATAGCACATCTTTTTAAAAATAGCAGCTTGAGGTGTCAACCCACTTTTGTTTTAAGCAGGTTTCAGGTGTTGTACCAGCAAACTGGATCTGCGAGGCTTCTTCGTGTTGCTGTCTGGTAGATGCTAAATGGTAGCCATCCAATACTTCGGTGTGACAGGAACTGCAAGGTTTCTTGTCCCTCACGTAGGACATTCTAAAAAGGTTATGGAAATCTGCATCTCTCAGTGCCGATGTCTCTTGCTTCTGCCTGACCCTACCAAATAGACGTGTGACAGTAGAAGGGCCACGCAGCAATAAAAGAGAGAAACGTTTCCAGTTTGCAGCACTGAGCCTCCACCAGGGTGTGACACTAGTGCAGACAAGTGATGAGGCAACAGGATTTACATAATGTACAGTTACACTTTTAATATACATATTTGATACAAAAATTATAGCAGGAAAAGGACTCATTTGATTGTAGAATACAGTATTTTTGTACAGCATGGAACGTTCATTTCAGTTAATTATTTATCCTGTAGTAGTCATATCAGCTGTATAGGACTTCTATGGTATGTGTAAATGCAACCTGCCTTCAGACTAGCAATCAAATTTAGGTCATTTGCTGGCATGAATATAGTCTGATGTTTGACTGTTCTCAGCTTTGGTATTTCAGTGACTGAATGCAGATGTCTGGCTCTTCATGCTGCTTTATGCTTACTGATTAAACGCTGAGCAAAATAAAATGGTGGAGTGAGAAGCTGAAAATGAGCTAGCACCAGGACGACGAGCAGGGCTCCTGCTGCCCAGTATATAGCGAAGACTCTGCTCTCACGTGGAAGGAAGCATTTGTGGAGGGAGAAGTCAGTTGGTGTTATGCTGCCCTGGAAAAGAAAGACAGTGTCACTGCGCTCTTACAGTGGGTCCCACAGCAGGAGTTGCACCAGAGCGGGCAGACCTGCAGCTCCCAAGTTCTGTGTTGGGTGCAGAGGGTTAGGGCCAGCTCCCAGTACCAGTGCCTTCTCCAGGGGGCTGAAGAGTCTGTAGTGGCAGTGCTGGGTGCTAACTGGAGCAGCCAGCAGCCATCTTCAGCCCAGGCACCAAGCTGCCTGCTTCTCAGCTAGAGAAACCAGGGAGCTGGGCTCCTCCTCAGCTCAGCCTTCAGAAGCCAAACTCCAGCTGCAGGGAAGCAACCTGGAGGCAGCCTTCCTGGGCTCAAGTTAGACTTTGTGAATGTGCCCCTTCCTCACCCCAGGCCCTCCTTCTACCCACTACACACTGCAAAACACACGTTGGCTAATCCAAATTGCCTACACAACGTAAACAACTGAGAACTTTGTTGGGTTTTGGCTTAAAATCTAATTCAAGTTTACAGCAGCCTGAGGCTGAGCTAAAACCATAGCAAGGAGGATGCTGCTTGAACTGGCCAACCTCTTGTTTTGTCTGGCATGTACAGAGAGCATGCACAGTTTGAAGGCAGCTGCTCTCAGGAACACGGAATAAACACAACTAATTTTCAACAAGAAAGATTAACAATAGCATAAAATGAATTGCAAGGTTGGGGTTATCTGTGTATTAAGGAGCCTAAACTCATCAGTGAAAAATACCTTAAAGGGATTTGCCCCCTTAGTCACAGAATACTCCATAAACAGAGTGCGGGTTTTGGTGCTTACTCCACATTTCTCAGAGTTCTGTTTTCTTTCTCTCCTGGGGAATGTGTTGATTTACCTCTGATGATATACTGAGCACTGGAACTGCCTGCGCAAGCAGAACCAACACTGCATGAATGCAGACTGGACGCGAAGAGGCGGCCCACGGGCACGCAGGCAACGCTTTCCCTGTGTGAAGTGATCCGTGCCCGAGGCTGAAGGCCACCACCACCACATGAAAGTTCAGGGTGGCAATGGTCTTTGTTTAGAGTGGGTAAATCAGCTGAGTAACGTGAGCCTTTCTACTGTTTGGTGCACAATACTGATTCTTTTTTACAAGTCAACAGTTTACAACGCGCCCTCTTCATAAGCAAATGTCAGATGCTTGTACCCAGATACTGATTAGGTCTTTAACAGCATTGCTTTGTACCACAGAGAACGTGGCTCCCACAGATGTGCTTTATAAAGTGGACGCAGTGTACAGAGTGGGTCGGGTGGGGTAGGCAATTTTTTTTATTTTTTGTTTTTACAGGTAGAATCAGTTTTAAAATATAGCTGACTGCCATGTTGATTTATTTATGAGAGTTCTCTGACAAAAATAAAAAAAAGATAATAATTAAAAACTTACCATGATGAAACTAGGGTTGTTTCTATTCCTCCAACTGAACGACGGGACGCTGATCTCCGGGATCCCCCCCGCGTGCAGCACTTGGCAGGCGCTGTGCGTGTGCCCGCTGAGAATCAGGCGGGGATGGAACCACCACAGCAGCTGCAGTGCGCAATGGAAAAGCACAGCAGTAAGCCGTAACTAAAAGGGAACCGCACGCACGGCCCGTTTCTTCTTCTGACAGAATGAAAATGTGGGAATTCTGACAATCTGAAGGAGTGTTTTGGATCAACTTCTGTTTTCCATTAGGTTTATGTTGGCAGTGCGATATCACAGTCATGGAATCACAGGGGTTGGAACGGGCCCCTTTTTATGGAGTCAAGCCCCTGCTAAAGCAGGTTCCCTACAGTAGGCTGCGCAGGAAACCATTCTTGCAGGTCTTGAATATCTCCAGAGAAGACCCAAATACTGCTTTTTCTATCCACACAGATCAGAAAAACGAAGCTAACAGCATGCTCCCAGCATTGCAGATAGAAATACCATTTTAACAAAACAACTGGGTGTTCTCATCCATGGGAGAACCCGGTACTGCCCATCTTAAGTGAAGATGTTTATGCAGCAGGAGATAAACAACAACACAGCTTTGGGGCATACAGCAAGTTTACATGTTCTTGCAGTTACTCCTGCAGCAGTACTGTCAAACAGGGGCTTTCTGCTAGGTTTGCCATTAATAGCCATACTATATAAACTACAGAATGCTACCCTAGGATAACAGTGGCACAGCATGCTTAAGAGCACCTGCACTTACCACATGCAGAATCAAGGCCCAGATCATGCTGACCCTCAAGAGATGATCCACAGCTCTACTCAGCAGCCTCTAAGAGGCCACAGTAAGCAGGAGCCACAAAGGGCAGTTCATTTCAGCAAATGTTTGCCCTTTCCAGAATGTCCAACCCAGTAGGTTGCCAGGGACCCAGGCCACTCTCCAACCCACCCACCCACCAATACTCAAGCTGCTGATAGAGAAAACCTTTTGTGATGCTTCCTGAGACAGCACATCGTACTTCTCTTTAAATGGGATGGTCTTCTCCTTCGGAGAGGCAGCATCTTCTCCACTGCATTCTGCATCACTTTTCCGATAGAGAGGGTAATGCTGGGTGAAATGCAAAGCAAGGACGAGTTGTCAATGACACGGCCTTTCTAGAAAGGTCATAAATACCCGAAGCACACTGACACGCTGCCTCACCCATCCCCAGTTCACCTGCAGAAGGATTGGTTGTGAAGCTGGAGGCTTTTCTGCATCACTGCACCTCTTCTCGGGATGGTTCAGTTCCTATGAATAAAATCAATCCATACATACTGTCCTCACCTCTGTGTACCAAAGGGGTGGGGAAGGGATTTACACAACAGCTACAGGTTGAGGTATTGGATTTTTCAGTTGTTTTGTTTCCTTCCTTGAGAAAAGCAGTACCTGCTCAGAGTACGGTGTTTTAATACTGCACCAACTTCTAGGAGACTGCTGCAGGTATACAGGGAAAGCTCTGCTTTCCCGTTCACAACATGGTGTGAATTGAGCTACACTCTTCCTAAAGATATTCAAGATACTCAAGATATTCAAATGCTTTCCTGTGGAAAGCAACCACAGGCTCCCACTGACAAGGAGGGCACAAAAGATTGAAGGCAGCCTGAGATGCAGCATTTAGGGTTAGGCAGTTTTTCTATTGGGAGATGGTTTCAGACTATCAATGCAGCATATGATGCCGCCCACCTGGCATTGTCTCCTATGAGAGGGTGAAAAGGGATGAAGCAAGCAACTGGATTTGATGAAATAATACCACTGAAACATTACCAGACTAACCAGGCAGGATCAGAGCAGAATCAGAGAAGTACAATAGGATATACAGAGCAAAAATCGAAATGCATGGCTTATTTGATCAGAAGAAAGCAGTTTCTGTTAGCTGACAGCAATAACGAGGAAGTGAGCACCATTAACAGGCTAAGATGATAAATGAGGAGAGCTCTGCTAACACGTTACAGCAGGAATGGGAGTAGGTTTATTTCAGACAACAGCCTTTACTACACCTTTACTGCTGCTACAGCATCGACATTTCCAGCGCAGCAGGCAGGCTGCTGGCTATCACCATGTCTTTAGCAGATCTTACCTGCTGGGAGCAGTTCAGTCTGTGAGAAAGCGCCACCAGCTTCGCCTCTGCAGTGCGGCACAGGGTGCAGCCATCGCCCTCCATGGCCACGCTGTTCACGAGGACAAAGCTGGAAAACACCACGCCATGGGCTGAGAGGGAGTGGTGGTAAGGACAGGAAGGTGTTTGCTGCTCATGCACATGAGAATAAGCCTTATTTGATCAAGTGCAAGGGTTCCAAAATGGGACACAGCTGAGCAAAACTGCAGAACATTGCAGCTTCTGATGTCACATGTTGCAAATCCTTTTCAAGTATCCATCCTGTAGCTACTGGCCTGTCTTGTAGGCTGCTTCCTAATCAGTCGTTAATTAGGTTGCACCATATAAAGGCTGCTGTATTCTATGTTTACTCCATCTTAATTACTGTAATAGATACCGAAGCAGTATTTGAGTGAAATGTTACAAGTCAACCAAACTGACTTTTGAGAGAAAGGAGAACTTTACTTCTCTCTCTGCATTCATTTCAGGCAACAGAAACATGTTTTTGATGTTCCGTTCCTTCAGAACGACTGAAAGGCCTCACAGCACTGCATCTGGCTGCCTGCCTCCAGCACACAGGTTCGTACCACGCAGCCTCGCAGAATGCAGCACTCGGTTAGTAGGAGAGCAGACATACAGCCTGTCTGCCACTGAAAGCTGGAATCCTGCTGTGCTGTTATATGAAAGGAGATGCAGAGACATTCCTGAACTGATGTGGAGTACGTATCTGTAGGACCCTACATCTATGTAACAAACAGCATTATACTGAGCATTCGTGAAGCTCGTAGATCTTCCTGGGGAAAAACAAGACCACTGCTAGACCTGTTTGGTATATTCTAAACGTCTATTTAATTAATTAAGCAGGGCAACCTCCTTCTTTCTGGGTCTTATACTCCCATAAGTGATGATAACCTCCTTACATGCTGCCAAATGCAGAGCAGCAGTGGCTCTTCCCTTCCTGTAGCACTTTAGGTTTAAAGAGAAATGCTTTGTCACACTCCCACTACTGCTCTCTCTCACCAGACTCTTGCATGGTACATAACAGCAACCGAAGAGCACGCACCCAATAACAGCTCTGGCACCAAGCTCTGTGCTCAGGGCCTCAGCCTAAACAGAGTCTGCATGACCCCACCGTGTGGGGAACCTGTGGCCAAACACTTGCTGTGTTCCCAAATTCCTCAGACAAGGACCAAAGAAGTTATTAAAATTAATGAAACTTTCAGCTTGCAAGCACGGGAGTTGGTTGTTTCTTTCCCAACCCCTATTCTGCTCTGTTTACAGCCATGGGTCATTACCAGCTGTGAGGAAGTACAAATACAAACCTAAGAATGTCATTCCAACTCCTCAGTACTTTTCCATTTGAAAGAAAATTGACCAAGCTTAGAGCAAAAGGTTCCCTGCAGATCTAAGTATGTGTGTCACCCCAAACATAACACAAGCTAGGTATGAAGTGAAAGTAACAATAATCAGATTTAAGCGAAGCATTCCCCTACCTAGCAATTCAATTCCAGTTCTCATTCTCTTATTCCACTAACAGCTGGGCAGAACATTTATATACATATATACATATATATATACACACTCACTTTGTTCCTTTTCGAGTTATTAGCTTTCCTGAAGTAAAGTTGAAAACTTTTTCAAATCGATGTACCTTGTAAGTGGTCATTCTGCAACACAGAATAAAAATACAACTGAGGTAAGAGGCTGGCATTGTAGATAAATAACAGTATATAATAATAAATAATAATATAATCAATGCTTAAATAATCTGACAGAGCTGCTTTGCAATTTTTAAGCCATTCCCACTGCTTGCTGCTGCGTTACTGAGAGCACGTATTCATCCAGCAAGCACAGGGACACCCAGACACTGACAGCGCTGTGTTCTGTCCCAGTCACAGACGTCCCAGGGGAACACAGGGCAAAAGAAGATGGGAAAGGGAATATGCTTAGGCCGAGCACTTTGCAGACCATGAAGCCCAACACAAGGGAAAGAAACTTCAAGACTTCTCTGTCAATGCAGAGATGTGAGCCCTGAACAACGTTGCATATGCTCTAAGAAGCACAAAAGTAGCCTGAAAGGAGCTGGGGGTCCTGGTGGCCAGCAGGTTGGCCATGGGCCAGCAGTGTGTCCTTGTGGCCAAGGAGCCAACGGGATCCTGGTGCATATTAAAGAGTGTGGCCAGCAGGTCAAGGGAGCTGATAAAGCCCCTCTGCTCTGCCCCAGCAAAGCCACATCTGGAGACCTGTGTCCAGGTCTGGGCTCCCCAGTTCCCCAAGAAAGACAACAACTTCTAGACAGAGCCCAGCAGAGGGCTACAAAGATGACTGGGAGCCTGCAGTATCTCCCCTTTGAGAAAACAGACCCAGGGCTGTTCAGCCTGGAAAACTGAAGACTGAGAGGGGATCTTATCAACGCTTACAAACACCCATAGGGCAGGAGACAAGTGGATGGGGCCAGGCTCATTTCGGTGGTGCCCAGGGACAGAACAACAGGCACAAAACTGAATGCAAAAATCTTCTATCTAAGCTTATTTACTTAATTACTTATTTACTGTGAGGGTGATGGAGTGCTGGAACAGCTGCTCAGAGAGATCATGGAATCTTCTTCTCTGGAAGTACTCAAAACCCTTTTGGACACCTTCCTATGTGCCCTGCTGCAGGGACCTTGCATTAGCAGGGGGTTGGATGATATCCAGAGATCCCTTCCAACTGCTCTAATTCTATGAAACCTGTACTAAAACGAATTCTTATGGTACACTGTGTGATGCAGGTACTTGTTAAGATCTTGCTCTAACTTACAATGCCATCTCATTTGATCAGAAGTATTTTACATGAACACAGAAAGTCATCCAGACACAAAACCAGTTACTGCATGCATGCTGACATTTCATTCTTGGCACTGGTGTATCTCTTGCACCAAAAGGACTTACTCATAATGAAACCCGATGTCATGATTCCCAACAATAACCACCAGCTCAGTACTAACTGGATACTTAAACATTTTCTGAAATCTCCTGACATCATCTGCCCATGCCTGCAGAAAGAAAATGAAGAAATTAATGCTGTTCCACAACATGGGAGGGATAGGAGGAACTACAAGTGTGTAATACAGAAGCATGCACTCAGTAAAATGCTCACGTTTCCTATGTTCTTTATCAGGTGGAAAGTGCCAAGATATTACTAAAAATGAAGGAGAATCACAACACATCAATTCGTATCTAAAACACTACAAACTTCTACGAGTAGGAAAACTGTAGTAACATAAAACAAAGCCTTGCATACCTAGTCTGTTTTCTTCTGCCATCCATTTCCTTCAAGAAATCCTCATTTTTTGAAACAAGAGAGCTGTTCATGTCATACCTGAGGTGAGTCCCATTTTCCTTCATCAAAGACATCTCCCAGAATAAAAACAATATCTGGCTGCAGTAACCACAAAGCAGTTTGGAAAGATCTCTCCATTTGCCATTCCCTAGAGGGAAAACATGCACCTGGTCATCAATGCATAACTTCTACATCCCCCACTGCAGATACATGAACATAGCCTTTCAGGAATGGGAAGATGGCTCCTCCACGCTGAGAATGTTGCCAAGAAATTGCATTTAAATACTCAGAAATCGAGTTTAAGTGCTGTAGGTACCTCCTACCTGGTATGGGTAATTCCACGGCAATAAGATCAGAATGAAATCATGCAAAAAGGAATGTCAAGTTGGTTTATTGCTACTGCAATTCCATTAAACAACTATTTATTAGAATAGTAAATTAATGAATTAATTTTACTACACTATTATTTCTTCAACAAAAGTTTATAAGGTTCATATCATGATAGAATCAGTACTTTTTCAGCATTTTTTTTTTAACCAAAACAACAACAACAAAAATACAGCTTTATGCAGTAGTCATGATTGGGTTACCTTTGATTTTAGATATGATTTTGCCATCCATTTTTCTACTATAAATATCTCTCAGCTTCCTTTTCTCTGCAGTTCAATGGATTAAATGTTGAAGCATCAAAGTTATGAGGCTCCATTAATTACCATTAAAAATTAAAGACAGGATAGAGATCATGCCAAAAATTAAATTACTACCTTCGTAGTTTATCCAGCCAATGTCCTTTGATTTCACCAAGCAGGTGAGTATCAGCTAAAAACATGGCCTTCAGGACTGAAGTTGAGGTCTCTTCATTACCTGTGTGAGCCCCACCTTTCACATCCGGCCATCGACATTGAAAAATTACCATGTAATAAATGAAAAATTCACAAAATACCAGCACAGAGCTGACAAAGCACACGAGTTTCAGCAGGAAATAGATCCTCTTCTTCAAAGGACAGCTCTTCACACTGGTCAAGCTGGGACTCGGCATTGCAGTATCAGCACAGGAGTCTTTCCCAGTGGCTAAGTTCTACTCTCTGAGGTGAGGGTTTGGTCAGAGGGCCGAGAGGCTTCATATCAGCATAAAATCCCTGCGGAGAAAATAGAAAATAAAATACTCAAAATCCCTCTGAAAAGGTGCTGTGGAAGGCCAACAGTGCTCATCTCTCATTTGTGTGAAATCCTTGGGATAGTAAGTATAAATATACACACACGCAATCATACAATTGTTTAGGATAGAAAACACCAGCAAAATTCATCAAGTCCAACCATCAGCCAACACATACACATGGACAAAAACAATTTACTATCCCCAGACAAGTGAAATGTGGGAAAATGAGCCTAAGTTAGTGAACACATTGTGTTTCCTAACTTTTTCCACCCTGGATAGCTTGTAACTCAAACAAGGAATTCACTCCCTTTAAAACTATAATTTTATTTTACACCTTTTGAAAGCTCATCCAAATGACCACCTTCACTCCCATAATCCACAACTGTAGCAGGACTCAAGGATCATTTCACTTGCTTACAGGCATTTAAGAGAAACTCAGTGCTTCTGGCTTAAGGAGGAAACACACACACTTTCATAGTTCTACTTCTCAAGACTACAGCAATCTCTCACGTGTCAATATGTACCAGAAAAGAGCAGCGCAAGAGAGAGGGCAGCGAGAGCAGCCCTACCAAGGGCAATCAGCCAGGGCCCAACACAACTTCCCAGGTCTTCAGTCTGCATCAGACAGACCACTTTGTAAAAGCCAACAACCAACAGAGTAGCAGGGACTCCAGGTAGCTATCAAGGTGCTACTCACACCCTTAACAACAAACTTGTACAGAAACCCACAGAAAGTCTTGTCGTATTCCCCTATTCCACTTATTACAACAGCAAAATTGCACCCTAGTGGTAAGATGGATGGGACTTTGAGCAACGTGGTACATGGGAGGTGTCCCTGCCTACAGCAGGGGTTTGGAACTAGGTGATCTTAAAGGTGATCTAATTTATAACGGTATATAATCCAGTTCTATCTATGTGACAAAGCTACTGGCCAGACATCTCAGTTCCACAAAACAGAGGAGCCACAAATAAAGGCTGGTTAACTTCATACAAATCTTGTCTGCATTTCAACTAGCAACGCAAAAATCAGTGAGATCTTGTTTGTGCATCTCACAGCAAGGCAGGGTTACAGCAAAAATGTCCATCCAACATATACAGCAACAAGCACAAAAGTAGGTAAACTCACCCTGCACAAACTGTACCTACCCTGTACTTGGAAAACTACTTGTAACTTGGAAAGTAGTCTGTAGTAGTCCTAAACAGTCTCCACTCCCAAGAAAAACAGTACCGAATTGAACAGAAAATGCTAGCAAGCTTATACACTTGCATTAGGCATGTAAAAAATAGGATAAAAATGAAAAATCACATGACTCTCCTTATCCACAGCCCACACAAAGCTTAGCACTAATATAACCTGTCACTTCGCTACCGATACCAACGTGTTCTCTAGTAGATTTTTGTTATGCCATTTTTCACACATCCAAGCTCTTCAGAAGCTGCCCACACACCAGTTCCCAGTGTGTGCACACTCACTCTCCTGTCTTCCTGCTGCTGGCTGTTAGCGTTCTGTGAGCCGTTTACCGGGTGGGGAAGATGCCCAAAGGTCTCCCATCTGCATCCTACACTTCCAGTGAAAGATCAGAAGAGAAACCAAAATATGTGAGACAGAACCAGCTGAAAAACAGCTCCTGCAACAGAACACCCGTCTGCATTGCCCGTGTCGCTCTCCTACCTCCCCTGCAGCCTGCAAGCCGACAGCTGCTCACATCCCGCCTGCGCCGTGTGCTCACAGCCACGCATCTCTGCACACCAAATGGCAGCGCGTGCACCAGTTGTCCCAGCCTCACATACGGGCACCGACAAGCAGAGGCCACACGGAAGAAAGCTGTTCTCTCTGTCACACGTGACGGAAGGGCCAAAAATAGCGCTGTGGGACCACAGATGCACTGCAAGATGGAGCTGTGGTGCAACACGGCGCTGTGCAGCGCTGCTGCTCCTCCTTCTCACAAGGCCGGTCGTTTAGGTTGGACCAAAACACACGCTGTCACCAAGGCTCACAGAGCTGTGCCAGCAGAAGAGACTGAGGGATTTCTCACTTTTGCTTCTCTAAATAGATGGAAATACATGGCAGTGACCAATGCAAGAATGATTTTTAAAGTTTCCTGAGGTCATCACGAAGGCAAGATCAAGATTTTTCAGCTGGTTATCCAGCTTTTATTTACAAGCAAGGTAAGGATGAAGCAAGATACAATGCTGCGCAGACAGACCAGGAAGCAAGGAACTCGGAGCTTTATCCTGTCTCTAACTTAGTGAGCACATAACCCTAAATACCTCATGTTCTTTTAAGCCAAATTATTAATTTACGCCATCAAACTATCACAGTGTGATAGTCTCTGTGTTGTTATTACACTGAAGAAGCTGCATGAGAGTATAAAAAAGCATAGTACTTCTATCCTCATGATGAACTCAAATTTTCACTCACTTTTTCCATTGTATGTCACGAAGTTACAGCATTCAACCTTCAGAGAATATAACTCAAGGTCTATATGTGCTTCAAAGCATAACAGTTACAAACAAGTTCAGGTTCCAACGTCCAAGTTTTCCCTCTTGAAATGCACAACTGAGTTCTCTCTTTGCATTCCAAGCTTTTTCTCAGCCTCTCTCTCCAAAGCAACACGACACTTCTACCTTGTGTGCTCTGACTCTCAGCGCTCAATCCCTATCATTGCTTCAGATACTGGAGCAGTAATAATACTCACTCTTCAATCAAATAAGAGCTTCTGATGAGTTAAATATATATAATCATAGAATGGCCTGGGTTGAAAAGGACCTCAAAGATCATCTAGCTTCACAGAATCACAGAACTGTAGGGGTTGGAAGGGACCTCTAGAGATCATCGTGACCAACCCCCCTGCCAAAGCAGGTTGCTTACCTCCTGCAAAGCAGGTTTCAACCCTCCTGCTGTGGGCAGGGTCACCAACCACTAGACCAGGCTGCCCACAAATGTAAATACACATACAGAGTCCATCAGTAGAATGCCATTTTTTTTATTGTTTTTTTATAAAAAAAAAGTTATTTTTTTTTTTTTTTTTTTTTTTATATATGTATGTTTTATTTACAGGAAATGCCATATTGGGAAATTCTTCAAACTGAAACACAAAAATTTGATTTTCCCACAAACACCCACAACCACAGCTGCAATTGGTGCATTTTATGAGTGTGAAAGAGAGCTCTGAGAACTCGGCAGAAGTTATGCAGACCACAGTTTATTTAAAAACCAGACGTACAAAATCAAATGCATAAAATACAAAAACACTTCAGAACAGCTTCCTACACTGAGCTGATATTACTGATTTCCTAACAGTATCAGAATGTGGCACTACATTTCAAATTTGTAGTATAAAAAAAAAAAAAGAAAAAAAAAGTAGAAAACCTACTTGCCATTGGATTATCAGCAGTTACAAATGTGCTGTAAAAGGAAGTCCAAAGATTACACTTATTTGTTTCAAGCACTTCTCATACTGATTATTCAGTTTCACAGATTCCTGCACGGCGCGCTTTAGATCTTCTATCTCTTGGAAAAACTCCTAGAAAAACCCAAAAATAATCACCTCAGTTTCTTTGAAGATATTCTCCATAACAGCTGGTCAGGGTTTCTCTTGTTCCCACGTTCAGACACTTTCTGTTTTAATTAGGTTAGGGCCAAGTTCCGCAAACACAGCACACATCCACTATAGTCATGTGTAATAGTTTAAAAGCTTTGTCCTGAGAGGGAACGCAAGCACAATTTAAGTTACCTCAGAGCCTGAAATAGAGACTGATAATGGGAAAGATACAAGAGACACGAATAGAAGGAAGAAAAAAAAAGTTGGCTTGTCAGAAAGATAGGAAATGGCAATCCAAAATTGACAAGGAAATAATGTCACTGTCACAGACTCTCCCGTGCAAAAATACATCAACACAGGAACAGAACATGGAGACAATCTAAGTTCAAAGGATATCTGAAATAAAAATACAGAGAAGAGTGAAAAAGAAAGGTTTCCATGAGATCTGAAACAGTCAGCCAGCAGTAGAAAGCATGCCACTGACTTGGAAGAAACTAAAGGAGTAAGACTATAAAAGGGGAAAATAGGCAAGAAGAGATGTAAGGAGAGCCAACTATCAATACTAATGTTAGCATTTGAACAAGACAATAACGAAGAGTTTAAGGTGGAAAAACAGATGCAACATTTAGAGATGGAAGGATCTACATTTCTTCGATCCGTGAACTTTGTTATAAATTGCTAGGGTCAGTTTAGAACCTTCAGTACAGCTACATCATGTTAATGAATGGCTGTTTCAGATCTATTATTGATGACTGCACTAGGAGTGGACAGATCTATGATGCACTAAGATAGATCACTAAATGGATAACATCATCCAACAGATTCAGCTTGATCAGACAAAAGCAATTTGCAAGAAAGCTGGGAATGAAGAAGAGCAGTATGTGAGGCTGCAAAAAACACAGAAACAGCTCAGTATGCAAGCCATAAGAACTAGTCCTGGTGAACAGCAGCCCATAGGATTCACTTCCTCACAGCAGTCCTTTTGTTATTACAGTACACAACTTAACAAGTACTTCTATCTGTACTTAACTAGATCAGTTCAGCTTCATAAAAATAAACTTCAGCTATTACAATACTAATAGCTTTCAGCTAAGATGAAACTATTTCTTGTTCAACTTCTACAGCTCAAGTCTATTGAGCAGTTCAGACGCTCTGTAAGCAAAGCCAAAAGGTGTTGGAAAACCCAAGGACTGTAAACAGAATATAAGCAATCAAAACTTCATTTCAGCAAATCTGTAAAGTCCTACCTACCAAACTAACACTGCTATCTACTTACATTTGACATCTTCTTCTGCTTCTTGACTTTTTTTTTAAAAAACAAACAAAAAAAGGGGAATAGCTACACACATCCTAAGTAAGCACAGTGACTTAAAACTACCAAAAAAATGGGTCCATAACTTCAGAGCAGTATTTTCACAAGAAACTTTCAGTTATGAGCTGTCCCTGACTTCCAAGCAAGGGGAATCTAGAACTTATCCAGGCTCAATGCTCTACTCACTTCACATCTAATGAATTAGCACCAGGTTTTACCGCTACCTCTGTAATGAAAGTGAACAAACATTATTTGTTTTTAGAACAATTAAAGCGTGTCTTATGCTGAAAATAAAATCTTAGACTAGTAATATTAAACTGAATCCTCTACAGCTAAGTAGGGTCTCTCCACCTTCCCATATCAGTTCAAGAATTATCAACCTTTCACTCTTCCTCCTTTGGTAACTGCAGAGACAACTTGCCACAAACCCCTCATGACCCTCCAAAGGTCACAGTTCTGCCACAGACACAGTTTCAGTTACCAGCACTTGTAATTTTTACCTTGTAACAACAGAAGACAAAGAATCACTCTTGGAGGAAATTAAACTGTTGAGCCATTAAAAAAAGCATCTACAAGAAAATTCACAATTTTAAAGTAAAAAGAAAAAAAATCATAATTATTCTTCTTGGTCAGCCAAGCAGTATTGCAGGATATGAGTATTTCAAGGAGTCATTCATTTCTTTTTCAGAATGGCATACACTGGTTTTTTTTAATGTATTTTGCTTGCTAAAAGCCAAGATAGAAAAGTTTATTTTTCAAAAATAACCCGCTCTTGTAAGAACAGGTCCTATAAGAAGTTACCTTGTCTAATCCAGCTAATTCCTTCCTTAGTGCTCTCCTTTCCTCAGACAACTTTTCATTTTCTTTCTTCAGCTTTTTAATCTCCTTTAGCAACAGCTCTATATTCAAATAACAAAACACAGGCTTTAGCCATCACAGTCAGCCTCCCCCTCACATGAATGAGACCGCAGCTAAAGAGCTGCCTGCATTTTTTGCTATTAGAAAATTATGCTTCAGCTTTTCCAAGTTATCTTTTTCTTACAGTGACTTATTCTTAAGAATTAGCCCAGTTCACCCCCAGCTGCCAGAAAAGGCATCAGAATCTGCAAATTGGGCATTTTTGAACCAATTCCTAGAACGTGGGGATTTTTCTTTTCAAAAGAAGTTGCAAAACAGCTGCATCACAGCTTGATTACCATTTTCTGACTTCAGAAAGGGTCACATCAGCAGCTGTTGATCACTTCCTGAAAAATTATATGTACATGACCTCTTCAACTTTTTTTTTTTTTTAATAATGCTTTGAAGAGGAACAGAATTGTACTTCATAGCTTTAGATTCATGAGGAAGACGTGCACAAACCAACACTGGATGGATTTATTGCATGTGTTATGGCTAAAAACAGTTTCTCTTGTGAATTGCTGTCTAAAAGCCAAAGGATGTAGCTACTAAGTTTTGTACAAATGAAGTTTACTGGAATAAATAATGAATACTAGTGAATGCACCACACATTCATGCCCATGATTATAGTGCAGAATTGGATTGACAGATACAATATTAAAATGGCAGCATTTCAGATGCTGCAGTGTAAGAAATAACTGGAGAGTGCCTACAGATCAGAAACTAAACTCATCCCCTCTGGTGATCATAGTAAAAGGAGCATCATTGAAATGAACTATACCATTACCTATGTATTTACTGCAGCACGACTCCTCCTTTTTAGATGTGTCTCTGTGAGACACTATTTCTCCCCCTAGGGTTCGACTTCTTTTCCCAGAAACAGCGTGAGTTTTCCACAAAACTTTATTACGCTCCAATTGCTCAATCCTTTGCTTCTGCTCTTGAAGACTGTGCTCTAGCTCACAAATTTTCATCTGTCAAGAGACCAAAATTTATTTTAAAATGCATAGCAGAAACATAGTTCAGCTGAGTATGAATGGAAATTTATCCTGAACGCAAACCTAGAGCCTTCAACTACTCAATTAAAGGTATGTTCATCTAGAAGTGTCTGAAAGGAGAGGAAAAATGCAGCAACTGAAGATCTGCACACCTCAGAAATGTTTTTAAGAAATACGTAACTGAGCACACAGCCAACAAAGCGAAACTGTTCATGCACAAAGATGCACAAAGATACCAAACCTTTCCCCACAGTACACTCATGGCAGCAGTTCCCAGCTTTTACGAAAGGCAGACATAATCCAGTCATAACAAACATTCAAAATGCAAAGGAAGCACACGTTCACAAACTCCTAGGTAAAAATTCATTATACTGGCCGGCCACAATGCTACTAAATGGCTGAAGAGGCAAAACCCACTTGAAGCAGCTTCTTGGGCCACTCCTGACCACACAACCAAACCTTTGCTTCAGTTAACGCTATTCTCATGTACAGCAAACCAGAAGAACTTGCTGTCTGAAAAATACTCGCTCTTTTTGGTTAGCTTGCTGCTGGGCTCCTGAAATAAATCGGCTCACAACACATACAGAAAAATATCACAGCAGAGAGGAAAGAGGGAAGAATGCATATACAGTTGGTAGGAGGGGCAGATAGATGAGAAAAGAAACAAGCAACAAAAGAGGAGAACAAGTTACAGACATACCAGGGACATGGTTCACCTCCAAACTGAACACAAACTACTTCCCATTATCCCAATGGCATGGGAAATGTAAGAAACAATGAGTACAAAAAGAAACAACAAAAAAAAAAACTTTGCAAAACCCATGCTGCAAACCTAAGAATGATTTTTCAGTCTACCAAAGAGCTTATGTTTGGCTATTTGATACCATCTCCTACAAGTTCTACTTACAGTGAGGTTTCTAATTGTTTCACTTTGTTCCTGGTTTGTTTTCATTTCCTTAACGTAACATTTCTGTAGATTACTATACAGCTGTAGTAGTCTAAAACAGAAGAAATGTATAAATTGCAATAAAATACGAACGCCAACAAAACAAGCTTTATCATAAAGGTACCATACATGTCCCAAATGAATCCTTTGGGTAGTAGTTTTACTGTAGACTTGTAATGGAAATATTAAGATTGTTACAAATGAAGTTTGATCAGCAACACAGAAAGCATTGCAGAAATTGCAAAGCGAGAGATAAAAGAACTGTCTGCATCGATGCAAAGAACCACTGTCACACAGGCCAAGGACTCAGTGCTTCTCACCAGCCCAGATGGTCACACTCAGTACAAACAACCCGCTGAGGGAAAGACCCAGAACAGGAGGGCGGCAGCAAGTTTGCAATATATCACATCTGTCATTTGTTACCCTGTCTCAGTTTCACCCAGGACGGAATTGTTTTCTTCAGAATGTCTGGTATGACGCTATGTTTTAATTCTAGGAGAAAAAAATGCTGATAACAAACTGATGTTTACAGTTGCTGCCAATTAGTGTTGTACAGAGCCAAGGCCTTTGGCAACAAAGGGCCCAAGGAGATGGGAAGGAACAGAATTAGGACAGCTGACTTAAACTGGCCAAAGGGATATTCCATGCCATATGGCATGAAGTGGAATGAGTTATGAAGTGGCTGGGTGCTCTTTTGGCTCTCTTTCACTGCCAGGGGGCTAGCTGAGCATTGGTCAGGGAGGTGGTGAGCAATCGCTTGTGCATCTTGTTATATACATTTACACACACACACACACATATAGTCATAACTATTTTCCTTTTCTCTATCTTATCTATCTTAGTAAATAGTTTTTATCTCAACTCACAAGTCCTGGTTTTTTTTTTTGTTTGTTTGGGTTTTTTTGTTTTGTTTTTTTTTTTCTCCCTCTCCTCCCTGATTCTCTCCCCTATCCCACTGGGAAAGAGGGGGAACAAGTGAACAACTGTGTGGTGCTGAGCTACCTGTTGGCTTAAATCAAAAATAGCATAATAGGAATAACAATGAGACAACTACTAAAGGATATGAAGAAGCTGGGCTCTTGACACCCATCAAGAACCCAAGAGACACAAAAAGAACTCAAAATGCAGCATCCCCACCTCTCCATGTTGCTCCCAAGCAATCCTGGCCACACCAGGTAAACACACCTCACTGCTTTAAGTATGACTGAGTGAAATCTATGGCACAATGAGTGCAAGTGAGCAAAAACCTATCTAAAATCCATGTTAAATTAACAGACTTGAACAGTTAACATTACATTTCTCTTCGATATTGCCTTGCATCGAGATCTGCTGCACTAATTTCCCATGGTATTCCATAGCATTCAGTGTACAAATACCAGATTCATGAAATAACTGATGAATATCAACAGATATTTTTCCCTATTTTATGAAGAATTAGGATAAGAGCTGACATTCATACTATGTTATGACAGCACCACAAACAGGATGAGTGATACTAGCACAGAAAAGCTCTGTAAATAACTAACAAACTGATGATACAAGTGAAGTTAGTTGCAGATGCACAACCTAACACAATACAGGGCCAGCATTTGTCTCTAAGAATAATCCAAATATCTTCAACCAAAGTCACACAGTCCAAGCCCAGAGCTAGACACCAGCCACCCTACATAGTTGACAAGAGTCTGGTATGCTATAAGGTAATTATATTAAAGACAATTAAAAAAAAAAAAAAATACAGGCCACCTAAACACTAGAAACAGTGTGTGTGAATCCCCAGCAGCAGGGGCTGCTACTATCTACATAAGATGCACAGACCAGAATCTATTCCTGTAAATGGACAAAAACTTTCGAAAGAATGGAGCAGCCTACTTCAAAACCAAGTTAGATAGGGCTTGACCAACATTTTATATAACAATGCCTAATTGCTGAAATTTTTCACTATGCATTTTCTTAAAACGCAATTCTACCTTTTGCATCCAAAAAAAAAAACCAAAAAAAAAAAAAGCAGTTACAAAAATTTATTTTTAACATTAACTGGCAAACTCCAGTTAATAGCAGCTCACTTCTCAAGTCAATTAAGATTGGAATATAGAACCACTCATCATGTGACTCGTACTGAAAAAACTATTAGCCTATACGTTTTATATACATAAAAAAATGAGCCATTTTCCTTAAAAAAGGAAATTGTATAATTAAAAATTTACCTAAGAAGTCACTTGTGCAATATATGTGTGTATAAATAAAACATGCACATGCACATGTGCATGACTGAGTGTTTTAATTTGATTTTTCTCAATGAAAGATTTGTCATGGAAACATTTGACTCTACCACGCAGAATACATTCTACTGTAGAGAGAAGCATATGTTTAATTTGCTGAAGAATCAGTTTCCAAGAACTCACCTGGCACTTTCACCCTCTAGATTAAGATTCTTGCTGTATCCACCCTTACGCCATACGTGTGTGTCTGTTTGAATCTGAACGCTTCATCAAAAGAAACACAACAGCTTAATAATATTAGATTTTACAATTTTAATTGGCTCATACAAAACAACAGAAAAATAAAAGTTTAAACTCCTTTTCAGTTTGATTTTACAATGAAAGTTTTCAGGCTGGATCATGAAAACACCAAACTTGAACTTGAAAATTGTGCAAAAACGCTGAAGTAAATGCTGGCAGGACGCTTCTTGAAGCATTACAACTACAGTTTCTCAGTTCCTCAGGGAGGTGGTGAGCAATCGCTTGAGCATCTTTTAAATGATGCAACTGAAGTCTCTCACCTCTGTCTGGAGGCAAAACCCTCTTGAGCTCTTATGGTTTGGCACAGCTGGCATGGGGTTGTTACCCAGTGATATCAGAAGTGTTTACTTTGGTATAACAGTGACAACTTCATCCAAATCACCCCAGCCATTCTTTATCTGCCCCCACCATCCTCCCATCCCCACCATAGGAAGGATAGATAAGACTCGGTGTGCCTGGGGGATAACGATGGACAAGTCCTGAAATGCTACGCTCCTTCAGACACACACACACACACACACAGAAAAAGAGAGATCAGTTTGACAATGAATTCTTACTCCCTGCTGGTGACATGACCACGCGCTAACTGCCGCTGCCGCCCTTCTCCCTGAATCTGAGCCAAGTCCTCTTCCAGCTCCTTATTCTTTCTTTGTAGCTTTTTCATCTTCCTGAGTAATTGCTCATTTTCGGCACCGAGCTGAAAGGCGAAAGAACCAAAAAGGAGGGACGGCGCTACACTTTCAGATAACGTATTAACGGACAGGATGACGTTTCAGGCTATAATTCCCTCCTGCAGGTTTTGCCGCGTCCATCGTGAACCCCTCGCGGGCACAGCCACGCCAATCACCTCACCCACCGCCCGAACGCAACAGCGGCGGCCAGGCGTACAGGCTATGGAGTCCAACCGACGCTATCACCTCACGCTCGGTCAGCGCAAGGCCTCGAAGCGAAGAGCCCGGGCCCGACTCACTTGCAGGCAGCGGTGCACGGAGGGCAGCGCCATGGTGGCCCCGGGGCTGAGCCCAGCCCGCCGCCGTCCGCCCCGCCCTACACACGCTAGGCGCAGGCGCGACGGCTCCCGCCCCGCAGCCGAGGAAGCCCGCCCTTGCCGAAGCAGCTCCCTGCAGGGGACGCACAGGAATGAGCCCAGCTAGGTTTGAGATGTCTCCGGAGAAGGAGACTCCACAGCCTTTCTGGGCAGCCTGTTCTCAGCGCTCTGTCACCCTCACTGCAAAGTTCTTCCCTGGGAACCTCCTGTGTTGCAGTTGCAGCTAGTCATCGAAGAGTCCACTCCCACTGACTTAATTCCCATACTCTAGATATTTTAACAGTGATGAGATTCCTCCTCAGCCTTCTCTTCTCCAGGCTGAGCACCCCAGGTCCCTAAGTGGGTCCTCCTACGGGAGATGCTCCAGGCCTCCACCATCTTTGTCACCACCCACTGGACTCCTTCCAGAAGATCCCTGTCCTTTTTCAATCAGGGAGCCCAGAATTGGACACAGGGCTCCAGATGTGTCCTCACCAGGCCAGAACAGAGGAGGATTGCTTCCCTCAACCTGCTGGCCAGGCTCTTGTTAATGCACCCCAGGATCCCCATGGCCTTGACCACAAGGGCACAGTGCTGGCTCATGGCCAACCTGCTGCCCACCAGGACCCCCAGTTCCTTTTCCACTGAGCTCCTCTTTGTAGAGAGGCATTCAGCAGCTCCCATCCCTCCACTGCCCTGGATCAGCCCATCCCTGGCTTGGCCAACTCCTCACACTTAGCCTTGGGTTCAGACACAAAGTAAAAGCCACGGCACATGAGATCCACACACAAGCTACAAGGCAGGGAGCAATCCCCAGAATGTATGGGATGGAATGGCGTACTCATTCTCAGCTGCCAGGCCAGTCTGTGAGGATTGCTTCACAGGTTCCACAACTCCAGGAGCAGCTGAACTACTCCACTAATTCTTCAGGCCCTTGGCAAATCATCTTGTCCCAAAGGCGCACAGCAACAAAACCAATACTCTAATCAGCACTGAGATTTAGTACTATGTAAACTATAAAGTAAGTGGCTACAATAGCTGCTGGCGAAAAGAGAAAGTGTATAATAGATCACAAGCCAAAAGATAACAGTGATATATTCAGCTGGAATAGTAACACAGTTACAATAACACATAATGTTACAATAGTAACATTGAATCAAACAACAAGAAAAAAATACTTGTATTTTCAAACTCTTGGAAAAGCCATGTGAAGGTTTTATCGTGCACATGACAATCATTTTCAAAAGTGGTACTTGATCTTGGGTGGCTCCACTTCAGAATAAGGATCCATGCTTCCAAATTAAGGATGTTCAATAAATTTGCTAAAATAACCCAAAGCTGTGTAGCACAAGACATCAGATATTGGAGCATCAAAAAAATCAAAATATGTAAGCATGCATGGATATACAAACAAGAAATATATTTTCTGTGCTTAATTAAGAAACACATTCATTTTCCAGAAAGATTAACAACGTGACTTTTAACAAACTTGTCTGTGTCAGCGACAATATAAAGTGCCATTAAAAACACTTACTTGTCACTGCAATTACAGCAGGAGCATTTCCCTATGTAACTATTCAAGCAGTTTGTTGAACACTTTTTTTTTTCCTTGCATTTTTGTTTCTAACAGCTTTGTATGCAGAGACACATTTCATGCTGGCACACACAAATGAAAATGTCATTGATTCCACTGGTGTTAAGCCTGCTACTTATTGCCAAGCAGCAGGAATGTGACCCATAGCACTTTTTTCAGCTACATGTGCACCAAAATCATTGATTGAATTTGTCAGAAAATCTCTGAGCGCGAGATTACTTGATACAACCCCATAATAACTCCAGGCACAGCTTTTTTTTCCAGACAGATTAGAGGGCAGCATATGTCATTCTGACTCTCAGCAAGACCTACTATCCTCAGGAGATTTTCCAGGAATTAAACTCTCCTGTGAAAATCTAGATGCCTTTGTGAAAGCACATAAAAATTTCATCTGCCTCAAATGAATCCCTCTTTCATCTACCAGCTGTAACAAAGATGGCTCCTGAGTCCCTTTCCGTGTGGGAGACTGAAACATTCACACATTCTTTCTAGACATTACATTCTTTGGCGCAACCAGCCCTGTCAATCTCACGGACAAATGCCTGCTGAAAAATCCTGGAACAATCTTGAACCAAATGGCCAACACAGGGGAGTTTCAGTTTGAGCTTTGATCTGAAAGCAGAAATCCAGTTTGCATTCAGGATCCTTCCTTTAAACAGGAAGCAACCTGGCTATGCTGAGCCCTAGCATAACTGTGGAAGAGAGTAATAAACTATAAAGTTTAGAATTCAGATCCAAAGCCAAATCATACTATTTTCTGTATATCAAACGCAAGGACCTGATTGGATTTGATTTGAAGCCAGTTTGAAAATTCTAGAAAACACCAAAGGACACCATTTTGCTATAATCTGTCAGATTTTGAAGCCAAAAATCTGAAGTTTCACATTATCAAACTCCCAGAACAGATCTGAAGGTCATATTTTGAGAATTTGTGGCAGGAAGGAGAATGTGGAGGGCACTCTGTGAGTAGCGACCTCGGGGCCTCCTAGACACAGAGGAGAAATGCGGTCAGGGTATGACTGAGCAACAGAAAGGAAACACAGGCAACAATTAACACACCACTGAGAGCAGCGCAGACCGGAGTCACTAATGAGCATTCTGTGAAATACTGCCATTGTTGGAAACTTCTTTTAGTTTCTGACGGAGCAGAACAAGCACAAGTGTGGTTCTTCATGGGAATCGAGCAAGAAAGTCTTTTTACAATGTACCTTCTCTTCTTGAACACCACAAAAAAAAAAAAAAAAAAAAAAAAAAAAAAAAAAAAAAAAGTTGGACCAAGCATCCTCTTCACCAGCCATAAAATCTACTCAGCAACATGACAAACTAAAACTACAGCCACAATGCAGTACTCTGAACAATAAAAAGCTTGTCATCAGGGTTACCTCTTACAGAGGACTGTCAGCCTCAAACTTCATTCTTGGTGGAGTACTGGGAAAAGTTCCACAGAAAGGAGCTAGAAACAGTAAACATCAATTTTATGTGACTAATCCAATATAATCCTATGCTGTATAAAAAGACCACCTGTATGGAATCATGCTGAAGTGCTTCAATAACAGTGCAGCAAGCCACTGGCTGTCATGCCAAGGAAATGCTCTCTCACAGCCATCAGGCTAATAATTCCAACAGATTACTTCCTCACCCCCTCTCCGTTTTTATTAAAGCTGTTAGTCACTTGCTCTCTCATTTAATTTCCTATTAAGAGATCATCCATCAAACCTGCGAAGTATCTGAAGACATCTGCAGCCTCCATAGTGCTGGCTGGCCAGCTGCAAGAGGTCACTCATTCTCTTTAAAAACTACAACAAATTGTATTGCATCAGTGCAGCATGCAATTACTGTCAAAGAAGAGAATGGTTGAGGAGTAAGTAAACCAATTTCTGTCGCAGCAGCTTCCCTTCTCAATGACCCTACTTTCAGTACTGCAGACAGAGCTGGCTGCAAACAGGATCTGCGTGGTACAGACAGCAGAGAAATGCTGCGCAACACTTTAGAAAAGGAAATGAAGGAGGACATCACCTCCAGCTAGCTAACACTTAAGTCACAAGGGCTTCACAGCTTATGAGAAAAGGAAATCAAAGACTGCATGCACTCCATGCTCTGTTTTGCAATGTATTTTCCCCTCCTCTGAACACTCTTGGTCTCAGGAAAGGAAGTCTGAACTGCGAAAGACCGAGGTCAGGCTCAGAAGAACTCAGACCCAAGAAACACCGGTATTTCAAGTTCACCTGGGATGAGTCTACTGCAAGTCAATGGGATGAAAAGCATGGCATGTGTGTAGATTACAAAACGTGTGTGCAAGGAACTGGCTAGCACTAAGGGTTATGAAAGATCAGAGGTTACGAAAGACCTTGGCAGCCATGAAAGGTGAGCCCAGAGCCTGAGCCAGCAGGCAGAGAACAACTGCAGCGTGCCCCAAACCACGCGGTTGTGTGAGAGCAACTGGCAGCTCACAGCAGCAAGCTCCTACTGCTTGCAGGCCTGGGCTAAGGGAAGCCTGAAAAAACTTCAGAACAGAAGTAATAAAACAGCCATCAGTGAATAGGAGCCTTCTTTATAGAGCTTACAGGCAACTGTAGTGTTTTGCAATGTATTTTGAAAGGTCTTAAAATACTAGCTCCAGTCAATGATTTCCTAAGTACTCTTCTTGGCTCTTCGTTTGTTTTCCAATGTTTCACCACTATTGAGATGAATTTGCAAATTCTGAGGGTTTGTTCAGTTGTTATTTCAGCCTTCAGAACTCAGCCTTCTGTGATTCTTTTACTAATATCCTTCCACTAGTGGAAAAGGAAGTTGTGGAAATCCTACTGAGCTAGAAGGAGTCATTCATTTTCCAAACACCACTCAAATCTCACTTAAGAGAGGACACTCCAGCTTGCAAAATACTGGGGGGAGCACCTTCCCATTGTTGCAACAACATTTCACTGCACCAGGGATTTCCTACCATCACCTCCAGTGAGGTTTTTTCTGCATCCCACCTACTATACTATCACACTGCACTGTTTGTAAAATGCAAGCTCCAGAGATGCTTCAGACATGAGCCTAACCACAGCAAGCCTCTGAATGCTGTAGCAGCTCTGAGACATGAGGAGAACCTGCTAAAGTTCAGGCTGGTGTTATGACATCTCATTGGTATGTTCACTTACTGCCCCAGGACAGCTCTCCCAGCAAGGTCCTGACATTACCTCAAGCCATGCCAATTAAATTTTGCCTGGTCCTTACAAAATTGTCAATATTACATCAGGGATAATAAGTTTTGTTGTTACGTACTTCTCTTAATGCAAATACAGGTACCACTAAAGCATTTTTATTTTAGCCAGACTAATATAGATTCCAAAAGGTCACTGAAAATGAAACCTTCGATCACAGAGCAGCTGTTGAATGACAAAAACAAATTTCATAC